GTGTTCAGTTGTGTCCAACTCTTTGTGACCCCATGGATTGCAGCCATCGGGCTCCTCTGTCCATGGAATTTTCCAGGCAAGAAAGAATACTGGATTGGGTTGCCATATCCTCTTCTAGAGGGTCTTCCCGAGCCAGGGATCGAACCCGCTTCTCCTGCCTCTTCTGCATTGCCAGATGGATTGTGCATTGGCGTGTGGGGCTGGATAATTCTTTGCTGTGGGGACTGACTTGTGCATTGCAGGATATTTAGTAGCATCCCTGGTCCCTACCCTCTAAATGCCAGTAGGACTCTTCCCAGAGTCATGACCACCAGAAATGTCTCCAGACAATGCCAAGCATCCTCAGGCCAGGGGGAGAGGTGACAGCATTAACTCCAGTGGATAAACACACAAGACAGATGATTTATTTTTTAAGAAATTGCCTCAGAAGACAACATGCATAAAGAAAATCTATCTAAGCACTCTAGGGGGAAAGGCAATATGATAAGCAGAATTACAACAATCTCTAAATTTTGGCTCGGAAATATATCATTTGTAGAGATTAATCCTTTAATTAGGAGGTGATAAAATTTAGAAGGTTGGAACATAGGCCTTGAATCAGAGATCTAAATTGATTTACTAGCTGTGATCTTACTGAATGGCTCTGTCCTTCAGTGTTTCTACCTATAATATAACGATAGTTAGTAGCATTTTTCTATCCTTGAACATGCCTCAAGGCCTTCACTTATGCTGTTCCCTGTGTCTAGGTGGCTTTTTCTTCCTCTTGGCTTGACTGGCCCCTGTTTATCCTCCAAATCTCAGGGTAAATAATCCCTCCTCAGAAGGGCTTCTCTGACAGTCGGCAGTCAGGCTCTCTTGTGATTACCTATCATAACACCACATCATAGTTCCATATCTTGCAACTTTGCTTCCCTCACTATTTTATAAATTCTATAATGTCCAGGATTATCTTTTATTCAGCACTGTCCTGAATACCCACCATGATGGTTGGCCCGTAACAGAGGCTCAACAGATATTGTTGTATGAATAAATGAATGAATACACAAGGTTTTCATAATTATTAATATAGCATTGTCATCACTGAGGATCTGTACTGGTTTGGCTTAATTTCTAATTTACAAAAACACTTCATTGTGTTAAACATTAAGGTCAAAATATCACAATTAGTGAGAATATGTGAAACAATGACACCAGAATACCTGGTTGAGCATCTACAACAAGGCCTGGGGAACTGTAAAAAGCCTAAAATTCGCAGACTTGCACAGACCTGGGCAGTCACATCCTGGGATGTGTGCACACATGTATGACGTGGAGGACCTCATTCTCGGAAAGTGGGGTCCCACAGCTCTCACACTGCATCTTAGAGCTTCTGGATGCTGAGTGGCGGACAAGCACCACTGATGCTCAGCTGCTATGCTGGGCCAGCCCCCTTTACAGACTCTGGCAGGAGGGACACTAGTTTCTTTGTTGGTTTACTGGCAAACCAATACTTTCCTCTTAAAATCAAATCACTGTTACAGTATATTTGTTTTTTAAAAAAGGAAATAATTTTTTTTTCCTTTTCATAAAAGAAATTAACCTTGAATACTTACTGGAAGGACTGATGCTGAAGCTGAAGCTCCAATAGTTAGTCTATCTGATGCAAACAGCCCAATCACTGGAAAAGACCCTGATGTTAGGAAAGATTGAAGGCAGAAGGAGAAGAGGGCAACAGAGGATGAGAGGGTTGGATGGCATCACTGATTCAGTGGACATGAACTTGGGCAAATTCTGAGAAATGGTGAGGGATGGACAGGAGTGGCATGCTGCAGTCCATGAGGTCACAAAGATTTGGACACGACTTGGCAACTGAACAGCAGTAACAAGGCAGGAATAGGGTTACTCTACTTGAGATCATGTTATTAAAATACTTTTGCTAACAAGAAAGTGAATTTTTTAACACACTTTTTTTCATATTCTGTCAAGGAGAAAGAATGTTGAATTGAAGAAGTAACAAGTACTTAAGACAATAAATTGATGTTCAAGGTGGCCAAAAGATCCCAAGAGCTATTTAAATTTAGCCAGCTACTTAAACTAGGTCTACATCTTTGAAATAGCTGTCTGTGATTTTTTGAATCATGGATAATGGCAAGAGAAGAGAAAGATCTATAGACCTGAATTTGATAGCATGATGAACTCTGCAAACTATGACAAATAAGATTAATGCTGATTCCCCCAGATAAGAGATGTCATTAAAAGGATAGTGTGGGAAGGAGTCAGGATCAAGAGGACAGTATGGGTTTTGACTAACCTCAAATTGAGAATACTGGTAGATTTTATGTATCCAGGCTTTGGCAAGGAGGCATTAAGAAGGAGCCTCATGTCATATTCTTTTTTAAAAAGATAGAGGAACATGGGCTAAATGGTAGTTTATTTAAGATAGATTTCTTTGTGGGTGAATAATGCACAAAACGTGCCTACAGCAATCTGAAAGTATGTTTTCAGTGGCTGCATGCCAAGGACTCCGTTCTTAGCACTGTTTCCATGTAACATTTCTAGCACCTTTCATGAAAATCTTCTAGAGGTTAGCAAAATTTACTCTGTTAAGAGCCACAAGACAAATATTTTAGGCCTTATGGGTCACATATAGTCTCCAATGCATCTTTTTCTTTAAAGGAAAAAAAAAAAGAACTTTAATGTAAATAAATTTAACAACAGCCACATATTAAATATGAAACTTTAAGACTGTCCTTAAAACAACTCATTCTCTTTTTGCTGAGTTTACTTTCCCTCTTATTTTATTTATATGCCATTCTAAAGACACATACAATATTTGGGATTATAAATAAAGTCAATGAATTCAGTTGCAAACATTCTTTGCCCGAGAGCTGTACAGAAACAAGTGACATTTGACAGGTTTTTTTCTCAGATTTCCCCATGGGCCAAGTTTGCTAACCCCTGTTCTAGAGCTTATCAGACTTGACGATGACATGAGAGAAAATGAATATACTGCTTAACAGACTCAGGATTCATTAGGACCCCATGAGCTCATGGCACGTGAGCACTGGAAGGGACCTGAAGCCTAGAGACCATCTGGTCAAGACGCCCCTCCTCTATTCACAGGAAAAACTGGGACAGCCTGGGGCTATGGGTTGGCAGAAATATAAATATAAATGCATGGTTTTATACTTGAAATCCCAAACTCCCAATTACGTGACTACAGAATAGGCATTTATGGCTTGATGGCTGAACCACTGAAGAATGGCATTTTAACTGAGAGTCAGTCAAATATGGGCCAAGAGTGTGGTGTGACTACAAACTGCACTATCCTGAAAATGATCCTCCCATTCAACCTCTTGCCTTGGAGTGTTTCATGAAGAGTCATGGCCATAATACATAGGGAAGAATGAAGAAACTGGAGGGATACAAGCCCGAGGAGGCATGTAACAGGATTTCAGAAACTGCAGAGTGCAGTAACACTACAAAAAGAGAGGACAAACTGGTTTGTGGTTCATAGGCCTGACCTGGGTACCCAGGAGGTCAGGGAGAAAAGAAGTCTGAGTGGTCACTGCTCACAGTGCCTAGAGCTGCTGGCACATGGGAATGCAACATATGCGTGCGTGCTTGCTCAGCTGTGTCTGACTACGGACTATAGCCTGCCAGGCTTCTGTGTTTATGGGATTTTCCAGGCATGAATACTGGAGTAGGTTGCCATGCTTTCCTCCAGGAGATCTTCCCTACCCAGGGACCTGCCCTCCTTCAGGGGATCTTCCCATCCCAGGGATCAAACCTGCATCTTCTGTATCTCCTGCACTGGCAGGCGGATGCGTTACCACTGAGCCACCTTCATAGCACAATGGAACATATGCATGTGTTTAACTCGCCGTTTAGGTCAGAGAGAATGAAACATTTAGTCAGTAGAAAGGATTGCTCATTTCTGTTGGACTTCAAGCAATAGTTCAACATCATATGGTAAGAAGCAACGTGGGGAAAAATCCTCTACTGTTAGGACTAAACAGTGTCCTTCTGGATGGACGTGAGGAAATCTATCCTTATGCTGTGCTTAACTCTTGCTTCCCTCACTCTCTCCGAGTCCAATTTTGCCTTTTGGAGATATCACAGAGATTAAATCCATTCCTTTTTTATACACAGAACTCTTGAAATACCTAAACACTTCCTAAATCTCTGCTGCTTCTGGAAATAGATCACTAATTCCTTCTACAATTCATTAAATTTCACACATGACCTAGTTTCCAAATTCCTGCCACATCCTAAGAAGACAATGTAGTTTAAAAAATTTTTTGCATGTATGGTTACATTTGTCCCTTTGCAGGCAAGAAAATATCATAAGCCCTATCTATCTATCTATCTATCTATCTATCTATCATCTATCACCTCCTTCTCTCCCTGCCTGCCTCCTTTCCTGCCTCCTTCTCTTTTAGGACAAGCCATCTGAACAAAGTCTAGGAAATTTACATAACATAGCCAAGACCTAAATCTAGAAAGCAACAGATAAGGAATTATAACCAAGCCTTTTGAGTTCTAAACCCATGCTTTTCCATTCTTTTGTTAATGGATGGATTCTTTTGTTAAAGGCAATACACTCTTAGTGAAAGGCTATACAGTGGGAAGGGTCTTGCTTAGTGCAGTATGGTTTTGCAACATAGTAACAGCATTTTTAGCAGTATGTACCACAGAGTAAATCTGAAAAATTCTCATGATTAGAAATGATATAAAGAACAGGGTGAGAATACAACATGTTGGATATGAGAATCTAGTTTGGAACTTTTAGGTTCTTTTACCCTCCGTTCTATTTCAACTCACCATGAAATTTTCAGAGCAACTTTCTAACTCCAGGGGGCTCTTTCCAACCCTAGGGCTGAACCCTGGTCTCCCGCATTGCAAGGTGGATTCTTTACCGACTGAGCATCAGGGAAGCCTCAAGCTGTAATAACTTTAATCAACTAAACATAACTTCAGAATCATTGCCTTCATGCTGTCCTGGAGGCCCTTTTACAAACCTGTATTTGAAGCTGGTATTGTAGGTGAGCAGTTGTCCTTTTCGCATGTACTCAGGATTGAAGTTAAAGTCATGGTAGGAACTGCATTGCTCCCTGAGAACACACAACAGAGACATGGTATAGAGATGAATACACAAGTCACAAGAAATGAGCAGACAGTTACAAAGGCACATACATAAAGGGCGCTGTTACTCCAAATGAGCTGCGTTCCTCAAGTTTTTGGTTAAGTTAGTGTGGAACTCTGAATACTTTGCCTACTGAAGCAATTTTATAAATAGAGAATAGGTTCATGGGCCAACCCACTAAAAGCCTTTTCCATCTTTGTAAAGTAGCTGAGATAAAGTATTAATAATTCTGTAGGTGCTAACCACCCTGTATAACAAGTTTCCCATGGCCAAATGCATTCAGGGCTGTGGCTTGGAAATGCCAGCAACATGGTCCCCCAATGTTATTGGCACCCCATGAGCTTTCAGCCACTGATGCCCATGGCTGGAGGTGGCGGCTCTAACAGTAAAATGTGGGCTCCTGGGAATAGGGCATAAAGCATCTCAAGGAAGCGAGAATCATCTGTCAGATCCCTTTCAGGATCTTCCTTTTCTTCCTTAGTCCCCAAGGATCCATCTGCTTGCTGGCTTACCACCTATCTCCCTGGCCCAGAGATAACATAAAATAGCAAACTTCTCTGCGTAAAAAAGTTTCATATAGTTTGTTGTCAGTAACAAAGTGAAGAGGTTCATTCCACTCAAACCCATTTATCACATGAAGCCATCAAGGAAAGTCCGGAAGATACAGGGAGAGGATTTGGGTCACTTTTTTTTTTTTTTCCCTTTAAGCATATTTCATTTATTGTCTTCCTGGTTGTTTAACCATTAAGTTGTGTCTAACTCTTTGCGACGCCATGGACTATAGCCTGCCAGGCTCCTCTGTCCAGGGAATTTCCCAGGCGAGAATACTGGAGTGGGCTGCCATTTCCTTCTCCATCCATTCATTTTTATACACTGAAAAAATATTCAAGTGCATTTCAGGGCAGCACTCCCCCAAGGTTAGCCTGGTTGTTTAATGAGGAGAGGGTGGAGATGGGGAATGGTGGCTGGAATTCAGACATGTGATGAGGAGAGGGACTAGGCCTGGATTTGCCGCTGACACCAGCCCTGGAGATGAGACAGCTGGGGTCCCTGAGGAAGGAGGTCACCGATTTCACCCCATCTCTTCCCGCACCCTGACTGGGGCAGCTTGGTGGGTATATCACAGGTGCAGCGTGCTTCAGGTGGTCAGAGAAAGAGAGAGGTGAGGTGCCTGAGCGTGCCCTATAGCTATTCCCTTAAATTAGTAAATATTTACTCACTTTGTGCTAGGCTCTGGGGGCTAAGAGTTGGGGCCTTGAAGAACCCACAATCCATTAGGGAACACAGAGACGTACAGACATAGTTATAGTCGAATAAAGGAAGTGAAGTACAGGTGAACTGAAGCAGGACATCAGGAGAGGGAGAAGTGAATTCTAGAAAGGAAAATACAGCGCTTTTCAGGAAAAGATCCATCTTGAGGAGTCAGGATTTACACAGGTAGAGAGAAAAGGCTGCAGTTCCAGGAACAAGGTGTATGAAAATAGGCACCGCAAAGGCACAGGCTAGGCAGAGCTTCCAGGCTAAGGGTTTTAAACAAAGCATTCCACAGCCAGCCCCGGACCCAGCAAGGATCTGAACCCGTAAGACACACAACCAGAGCCTTGGTTGGAATGAATGACAGGGACGAGCAGAAGAGAGGATGCCATCTGAAGCCATCTGGGAGGTTTCTCCAGTTTTCTGGGAAGAGGGAAGGAGGGTGAGAAACAGGAGGCCAGCGCTGATGGGGAGGAAGAGGGGTGGCAGGGGAGACACTGGAACCTCCACTTGTCAACACCACCTGCTCTCCGACACCGTGTCATCTAAGACACGGATTCCCCCGAGCACTGTCAAATGGAGCCTCCTGCATCTGCAGAGTCAGATTCTACTGGTGCCAAAAGTGGGATCTGTGTCGTGCTAAATTCCCAAGGCCACTGGCAAATTATTGGTCCCCTCTTCTCCCACATGCCTGTGATGCCCCTGTTATTCACTCTAGAATCTAACCTCCTCTTTGCTCCCTGACTGTTCACATTTGCTGAAGGCTTGTGTATTTACATACTCCCAGTTTCACTTGCTCTCCAGATGTGTATCTTTGATAATTTCACTCAACTCTGGAAGAAAATAGTGTTCAGTAACTGAAAGAATACATTTTTATGCTATGTATCAACAGCCATAATATATAGAATTAGAAATTAAGCCAAAGCTCCACCTGATGGGAAAAACTGACTCATTGGAAAAGACCCTGATGCTGGGAAAGACTGAGGGCAGGAGGAGAAGGGGGCGATAGAGGATGAGATGGTTGGATGTCATCACCAACTCAATGGACATGATTTCGAGCAAACTTTGGGAGTTAGTGAAGGACAGGGAAGCCTGGCGTGCTGCAGTCCATGGGGTCACAAAGAGTTGGACATGACAGAGTGACTGAACAATGAACAACAACGTAAATATGAGTGATTTTCCAAGGAAATGGTATCACATACATACACTCTCTATGAAACAAAAAGCTCTCAATCTTTGAAGAATCAAAAGTTTAACTTGGTTAGCTGGTTTTGAGTGCTAGATTTGCATAGCATTTACAAATGCTTTAACAGTTTTCATATAAACGCATAGATATTTTTAGTGAAGATCTTGACATTTTAGTTTCAGTGATACTTATTTTGCAAAAAAAAAAAAAAAGACTTTAAAAATATAATATTTCTAAGGAAAATATATCCATAATGACACTAACCTACTTTTAAAATAACACAATTAAAATTATTTACTACAAGATTCATAAAACAGTAATGACTATATACATTTGAATTCAGAAATTATGATGCCTAAGGGTCAGACTTACTCTGTATTGAATAAATCAATATGATTATGCCTAGTAAATACTTAAGACAAAGATTTTTGAGAATAGGAATTCACAGTTTAGTACAAGTGGAGTTTTGGGAGTATTTGTATGGATAAGCTTTTCCTATAAATATTTATACCTGTAAATCTCTGGATAAAGAAACATTTAAGGAAGAACAAGAAAGGTCATAACAGAAAATGTACAATGTGGCTGTGAACAAAGACCACTACCTAGGTCTGAAATTCAGTCTCAAGTTTAATAACTTTCAACTTATGTATATGATGTTTCTATTGTATGCTTTGATCACTTAGACTCTACTTGATTTAAATGCTATTTAATTATCCCATATTTTAAAAGCACCACTAATTAAATCCTGCTTTTAAATTTGATGGTTTGAAGAAAGAGAGAGTCATTTTGTGGCTTTCCTTCCCTGCAATTCATAGGCAATGGAATCACCCAGAGAAAGTGTTAGCCAAGTGCAGTAACTACGACTTCCATCTAGCAAAACAGGAGAGTGAAACAAGAGTAAGAATGAAATTTAACCAAAACAACAAATGTAGGGAAAAGGGAAAAAAGAAATCATTAGGAAACATAATAAATAAAAAATCCAAAGTAATATGGAAAGAATCACCCCTCACATCTCAAGAATCACAGTGAGTATAAATGGGGCATGCCTAACCAGTCAGACAACAAAAATAAATATCACACAGAAATTCTGACAGCCACAGACTCATGGACAGTCTTAATTCTGACAGTATTAATATTTTGAGCATTTTTCCTATACTAAATTTTCTATCTGATGGCTTCCAAATCGAAGCATTTATACTTTCCAATTACTCAAGTATAATATAATGTACTGTGAGAAAACATGTATGTAATAATGGTTGTGAATGATGCTGGATATTCTTGGTAGAGATATCCCACAAAGGGAAAAAGAGGAGGAAAGAAGGAAAAGAATCTCAAAGCGGTTACCCTGAATTGAAATTGTCAACTGTCTCCTAGAGTACAGTCAACAACTGCTGAAACTTCTGTACTGAGACTGAGCTTATGTGATACTTCTTGTACAAAGATTTCCCTAAACAGTACACACTGTCAGCTAACATATAGCCCATGGGTATTTCACACTCATGAGCTCTTAGTGAATAAGAAAATGTTTTCAAACCAATGAAAGAAAACATTGCCTCCATTAGTGTTTATCTATGATCCTCTTAACAAGCTGTGTATAAGCTATGCATGTTCAGTCACTACGTCAGACTCCTTGCCATCCCATGGACTGCAGCTGACCAGGATCCTCTGACCATGGGGTTTCCTAGGCAAGAATACTGGAGTTGGTTGCCATTTCTTTCTCCAGGGATTGCTGCAACCCAGGGATCAAACCTGCGAGTTCTGTAAGGATATTAACTGTTTGCATTACCTGTGACGGGAGTTCTGTTTTTCAGCCTATCCACCTCCATAGTGAAGTCATCCTTCAGAAAAAGGAACCCAATAATGGAAAACAGGTAGACAAGGATGAGGGCAAGAACCGCAGTCAGAATAATGGATCGGCCGTTCCGTGTGACACTTTTTATGACATTGAGCAGAGTCTCTTCTCTATATACCAAATCAAAAAGCTAGAGAAAAAAAAAAAGAAAACAAAGGCAGGGGAAAAATTGCAGTGAAGCAACAAATGAATAAATACAAGGGTAATCACAAATACAAATGCAGCCATTTTAGTTTATCCATGAGAGAATAACAATATAAATAAGACCTTAAAAATGAACCAAGATAGGTATTTCTTCTCCAGTTGGAATGTATTAATAAATTGCTTTTCGATAAAGCAAATCCAAATTTGAATTTAGAATTATAATATTATATGTAATCAACTTAGCTGCTTATTCCCTATTTTTATTCTTTCTAATATTCTGCAGTTGCCTCTGGAAAATGTAAAATAGCTAATGTGAAATGCTGAATTACGTTCACCTAAGTGATGAATAATTGACAGATTCATTCAATGTATTGTTTAATTAAGGGATTACAGGTGAGATGACAAGAATTCAATTTTATGAGCCCACTATAATATTAATAGAAAAAGTATGCAATTTAAAAATATTTGAGAAATGTAAACATCTTTCTTAGTTAAACAGGTAGAATGAGGGCAAAATCTATTACTTCAGTATATACTTGTGGAAACAAGAGTATAATACACAGTGCTAATTTATTTCCTCTAATGGGTTACTATCAATTTTGTATTTAGTTGTAGAAAATCTATGCTCTAATTAAGAACCTAGGTATGTGTTTGCTATCTGTTGTCAACATTAAGGAAAATTTTATTGTTATATTATAATGTTGAAATTAAACATCAGAAAGTACCTATTTTATTATCAAAGCTGGTTAAAAGCAATAAATTAACAGTTACTTTAAAGAAGGCATAAATAGCAGTATGGAAATAAATAGTATTTTTAACACTGGAATAATTGGGTTTGTCTTCTACTATCTGTGGGCAGAGATTAGAATTTCTGAACTGGTTTAAATGATCAATTATCAGTGTCACTCATCCTTTCAGAAACATCAGGGCTTTGTACACTGTTTTTCTAAGTACTGAGGCTTATATGGTTACTTACCAATTTAATTGCAGCTGTGCAAATGATGGATGTAAAGATATTAACTTGTTTGCTCACCTTAAGACATTGATATTTTATGATGGTCAAATATAAAAACATGTGCTTAACTATTTTGCTGTTTATCTCAGAAGGGAGCTATAACATTTAGAAATAAAGTCCATATTCTTCCATGAAGACAAATTAAGTAATGCTGATTCAGCTTCCAAATTATTGACCTGGCTTATTTAACTTATTTAAACATTTAGTTGACAGAAAGGAGATTTTTCCTCCGTTGAACAGTGGCTGAAAGAAAAGGTCTGGCAAAATATTCAATTCATTTCTGGATACCTTCTGAAAGTTTCTAGTTTTCAGAAGCTGATGGGATGCTTGCTAAAAAATACATACTTTTGGGCCCCATTCCATATGTATGGAATCAGAAGTTTGAGAAGGCAAAGGTATTGACATTAGACAGATGAATGGTTCCTTCTGTTTATTTCTGAAAATCTAGAGTGTGGTTTTTATTACTGGTTAAAGGATGCCCGGGCATTTGTGGACATAACTGAGAGTGCATGTTCATATATTTTTAAAATATAAAAATACTTAAAAATACATTGAAATACCATTTTAGCACTACATTCAATAAGATGTCCTTCTAGTACTGTATACATGAAAATGAAATATATCCTTTTATAATCAACCCAGTGAAGACAAATTAGCATCAGTGTTGTACAATTTGAGAGATGAAAGATGAGGAAAATGCAAATAGAAAATAAGATTAACACAAATTAAAAGTAATATTACTATTAATAACTCATATAATAATTCAAATATACCTTTATTTTGTCAAAAACCTTTCCTTCAATAATGCAAAGTTACATACATCATTTCACATGTTTTTTATATTATTTCTTTTATGGGTCTTGATATCACTAGTTTCTCATACTAAACCTATCCATTTTATAAATAGGGAGGCTGAAGCACAAAAAACACTGTCATAAAATTTTACATATCACAGTCAGAGAAAGGTTCTGGATATAACCTATTATATATAATACATGATATAACTTGTCTATTAAATATCATAGGCAGATTTTTTGAAATGGAAGTTTTATGGTGAATCAGAGCAGAGAAGATATTCATTTGCATCCCTGGATCAGGAAAAAAAAATCTACTTTTGATTGCTGAATACTAATCTAACTTAACTGCCTAGAATATAACTTTGTATCCTTATGTTGATAAGGGACAAATCCACTCTTCACTGTGGCTCTTTCGATTGCTTTAGGGTAAATGAAAATGTAGCCTCTTATTGAATCCTCCTACATGGCTGTTCTGGATAACAGGCCAGCAGGAGACTATGGATTTGCCTCTCATGATCAAAGCAAACCAGTCAAGATAATGTTTTTAGATCTTCAGCTTGTTTTTTAGGAATTATTTTACTGGGTAATGTTCTCCTCTGCACATCAGCAGTGAGCTAAAGATATAAAGAAATTGCTCTCATGGCATCATAATGCTAACCTAGTAATGCTCTAAGGTTCAAAATATCATATACTTGTATTGAGTCCTCTCCTGGCTTATGGCTAGAGAACATGTATGTAGGAAGGAAAACTGATAATCAACCAAAACCAAAACCAAAATACAACTTTAGAAGAAATCTGCAAGTCCACCTAATGAATAGATGTATGTAAATAAGTTTAACAACAATGCCATGTTAAATCTGAAACTATGACTGTCCTTAAAACAACTCATTGTCTTTTTGCTTTGTCGGCTTTCCCTCTCAGTTTATTTATATGCCATTTTAAGGATATACAAAATATTTGGGATTATAAATAAATACAATGAAATCAATATCAAGAAAATAAATCCCTTTTCTTGCTCAAGAATCTCTAAGCTAATATGATGTGCCTAAAACCCAAAGCAGCCTGTTACACGAAGCCTGGGTCAAGAGCTGGGTCTCAGAGAATACATAAAGAATTGCACCACCTATGTAGTATCTCAAAGAAAAAGACTAAAAATAATAGCAATGCATGATTTTCCTAGGCAAGTCTAAAAATAACATAATTTGTCCTCAGTGCCAGACTCTGCTTAAAAAAATCAAAGAGAAAAGCATAAGAAGCAGCAGCATTGTGTATGTTTTTCAGCAGTGACCGTCCACATAGAGATGTACTCACCAGGAAGCTATAGAAGAATTCATGGACAAAGAGACCCAGCATGCAAACCAGGACATATGCCACGTGGTAGAGAAAGGCCATATCCAGGATGACTGCTCGGTAGCCTCGGGTGAATGTACCACGATTTCCAACAAAACTCACCAGAAACACTATTTTATTACAAAGCTAAAGGGAGGAAAAGATTCGATTTTATTGTCTTACTCATACTGGTGAAGCTCACAAAAATAGCAGGTCATTGACAAAACCTATTATTCACAAAGTCTGTGGTTTTCTTTGATGATTTCTCATTTTGTAATTTTTCAACACTGCTTACAAATCTACATGTAAACACCAGACAGACAAACTGTGTATTCTCTGCAATTCCAGGAAAAGGGAGCAAGATAAGAGACCCAGCTCTGCAATCAAGACAGACCTGAATTTAAATCCTAGCTTTCCCACTACTATTATCTGATCCAGGCCACACCACCATAGGCCTTGGTTGTTTCTTCTCAAAAATTAGAATAAAGAAATTCCCACCTCAGAGAACTCTTCAAAGAATTAAATAATTCATAACGCATATGAAGTCCTTAGTACAATGACTCTTGAAATATTACTTATTATATCTTCTATATTAAAAGTAATACATGCAATGTTTTAATTATACTGTAAATGAAACAGAAAAATACATTTTCAGAAAGCAACCAGAGGGTTGTCTTGGATTTTTTTATCCTGGATTTTCTCCACTGAATATTATTTTAAACAAGTAAGCAATTAAAAATTATTTTTTAATTTACCCTGCATTCATAAAAAAATATCTACCTATATTAAAATAAATATAAAACTTGCATGTATCTTCTAAGCTGTATGTATGGTAATTATTCAGTAAGCATTTTGGAGTGTTTATTATGCTTGGTATCATGTAGAATATTTAATATTTAAATTAAAACTACATTTAAAATTGCTTCTGTGGCATAATTTTAAAATATAGAAATTTATACTGAGGTTTTTGGGCAATAACAATGACGCATGCAATGATTTCCAAAGAACATGGCTATCATAAACTTAGTGCCATCTATTTGGTTCTAGAATTACTGCATTATTTATCAATGGAAAGACTAATTTTTCCATTTAGTTATCAAGGAAAGAATTACAGGTTTCAAAATTTCAGTTAGTTCTTCCAAATCATTCCCTGAGTCCTTAAAAATTTTCTAACAGTACCATATTTGTCTTAATGTGTCCAGACCTAACTTCAGGAAAACAGATTGCTCTTGCAACACTACAGATTTTTCAATGTATATGAAAGAAATTGTCTTATAGGATTATTTGGAATAACATAAGAAGGAGAATAAATAACATTTTGGACAGAACTAAAATTTGAGAAGTTGAAAAACCTTTCTGAAGTCCAAATCAATACAGATAAAATGAGAAATGGCTTATCATTGCACCTTGTGAAGATAAGCAAACCAAATCAACAGCATAGCAATTAAAAGCTTCAAACCTTTCCTAAGTTTGCTCCATGTTAATTAAATATCCTCTCAACAATTGACTTTATCAATTTCATCATCTTGCTAACAACCTGAATAGTGTCAAATGAAGTTTTACTTCACTAGTGTTACATCATCATATCTTGACATTACTATTAAATATAGCTACAGTATTAATGGATGTTTTTATGCTTACTATCCAAGAGCAAGTTTAATTCATTCACCCAAATCATTAATATGAAACAGAAATAAGAAGTTCAACAAAAATGAAGTTAAAGATTAAAATTATGACTTTTCAGAAGGATGAATGATATGCTGCAGACAAATTATTTAAATATTGTGTCTTTAAACTGAGTCATAAAAAGTTAGGCACGAAAACTATGTACACATCCTTTATACTAAGTAAAAGGGATATACTGAATTCAAGTTCTCAAAAAGAGCAATATATTTCACTTCTCAAATGATGCAAAAGCAAGGACACACTTCTGCCTCAAAGGGCCTCTGCCATTTTTGCATGAAAAATAAATATTAGCCTTATTGGTTTCAAGTTAATTTTTCTGAACTTTGACCTAAAGTTTGATGTTGATGGATATGATCCTGCTCTCTTGATGGAATTGATACTGGTAGTGGCAGCCAGCTATTTCTGCACAGAACAGAAACAAGGAATTTGAGGTCTTTTTAAGTGTTCTTACCATGAAGAAATAAGTGCAAATATAAATGATTTGGGTAGGAAAAAACTTGAACACTGGTTTTTCCTGCCCATGACCTTGTAATTTGTGAACTAGTCTTATTGAGCATTTTCCATGAAAGCTGGGAATATTCACGGAAACAAAGAAGTTAGAAGAACATTCTCCTTTTACATGTCATGACTTATTGGACACTGTCTAACTGGTCTTTCATTTGTCAGTACCATCATGTGGGCAATCATTGCTTCTATGGCAAGGGTCCATGTGGACAACAATAAATGGGGAGTGTGGGAACTAGGCAAGGTGGGTTAAAAGGCCATCCTCAGAAAAACAAACATTGTATATTAACACATACATGTGGAATCTAGAAGAATGGTACAGATGATCTTATTTGCAAAACAGAAACACAGACATAGAGAACAAACACATGGACACCAAAGAGGGAAAGGGGGAGTGGGATGAATTGGGAGACTGGGATTGACATGTATACACTATTTACACTATGCATAAAATAGATAACTAGTGAGGACATACTATATAGCTCACGGAGCTCAACTCAATCTGCAGTGACCTAAATGGGAAGGAAATCCAAAAAAGAGGGGGTATATGTAAACACCTAGCTGATTCACTTTGTGTACAGCAGAAACCAACAAAACTCTGCAAAGCATCTATACTCCAATGAAAATTAATTTTAAAAAGGCCATCCTCTTCTGAACTGCTGTTGAAAGGACATTTCAGTCAGCACACAAATACCAATATAAATGATCACAACTATCCCATATATTTTTTTGTTTTCTGTCTATTCTTCAAAGCTGCCCTTGATATATTGGGTTGACTAAAAAGTTTTGTTTGGGTTCTCCTATAAGATCTTATGGAAAAACCCAAACAAACATTTTAGTTAACCCAATATTTTTCATTGGAAGGATTGATGCTGAAGCTGAAGCTCCATTAATTTGGCCACCTGATGTGAAGAGCTGATTCACTGGAAAAGACCCTGATGCTGGGAAAGATTGAGGGCAGGAGGACAAGGGGGTGACAGAGGATGAGATGGTTGGATGTCATCATCAACTCAATGGACATGAGTCTGAACAAACTTCAGGAGATAGTGAATGACAGGGAAGCCTGGCATGCTGCAGTCCATGGGGTCACAAAGAGTCAGACACAACTTAGTGACTAAATAGCAACAACAATATTTTTAATTAAGAATGGGATAAATCACATGATGATTGGGAGGAAAAAGTGGGTGGGGGAGAGAAAGAGTAGTAAGGTTAATTTAAGCTCTCTGTACAGCCTTTTAAAAGTGGCACATCATCCAAATGATTTATGAATGTCTTCTACAACAGCAAAATTAATGCTCGTTTGTTAATTAATGTACACTAAAATAAGTTCATTAGTTTTAACTAAGTAAATTAATTATACAGTATAGCAATAGTTTCACAGATACATTACATTTAATTGATATGTCTTTGCAAAACTTTTAACAGCACAGTATAGTGGAAAGACCCTGGCTTAGAAATTGGGCCATCTGGGCTCCAGTCTTATCTCTGTCATTAATTACTTTGGTAAATCCTCCTGGTCTCTATAGGATGTATATATACTTATTTCTAAAATGTAATGACTAGAAGGGAAAAAGCCTGAAGGTGCCTCATAGCTCTAGAATTCAAAGTGGTGTTCTTTAAATTTTGCTATTTTACGTGATCCCAGAAATTTCCAGCTGCCTTTATATTATCCTATTTGTTATCTGACTGTGTATTCCTGATGGGTAATTCCATCCCCATCTTACATTGTTCCTATTTATTTCCTAGGAATAAATTATAGTAAAAGAAGGTTGTCTACTGTTTATTGGAAAGCAAAACTAAACTTACTGTCTTGAACTATAGTTTAACTATATTACCATATATTCATCAACCATTAACTTTCTAACTAAAAATGAGATTATTTGATTCAAAAATTTCAATTTCAGTGATGTTACATGGGCAGGATAAGATTCCCCAGTTGTCAAAGCCTAAGGCAAAATTGTTATGTAGTCAAAATCACCCAAGAAAACCTTTAAATTGTCAACAAAACAGTACAGTAAACAAGGGTGGTATAAACTTTAGTGTCTCTTACGAAATTCAACACATGCTATTAATAGTATTCTCCCAGCACTGGAGCAGTTTTCTGTCTCTGCAACTGAATATGAGAAGTAGGTGCCTCAGTGAGTATAAGAAAAACACAGAGAGAAAGAGTGTGTGTATGTGTGTGTGAGAGAGAGAAACAAAGAGAATAGGAATGTTTTGACTCAGAATACATCTTTCACAGATATATATTGTATTATTATTTATTATAAAAATAATCTAAAAAATATGAATAATAAGAATTAATGGGATGGTTAAATAAATTATATAATATCCATGCAACTGGAAATATTATCATTACCAAAATGAGATTTACAAATAAGTTTAATGGTATAAAAAAATATTACGTGATCCCAAATTGTTAAAAAGTGTTTATATTTGCCAAAGTAATGTTAATTTCCAGTACCCATAGCTAAAATTGCAATGCAGAGGGTGGGAAGAAAACTGTATTGGGTTATAAGATAGGCTTTTATAACAGAGAAAAACATTTGAAATTTTTAAGCATCTCAACTATTGAGGTAACTAACCCCTGTGACAAGCCAAGAGAAGCTATCTGCAAGCTAGATAAAACTTCAGTTTTTAGAACTTAGTAAAGACGAAGCATCATAATAAGCAGAAACGGATAATATGAAGTGCTCAGAACACAGACTGAGGCTTTCCCCCCACTCGATTCCTTTCCCAAAAAAGGAACTCTCTGTATTTGCTTAAAACTGTGAAAGACACTGAGCCAGAAATAAAGTTCCTGTGAACCAAAACACAAACACTTTAACCATCATGACAGCAACGTTCTACGATTAAATCCTACTTCACATATTAGACACCTAGTAAACACTAGCCTTTATTGCTGTTTCATCATTATTACTGCTGCTGTTCTTTTTATAAATCTTCACAGTAATCTCCTGAACTGATCTTCTCAACAACCCATTTTACTGATGAAAAGAATGAAATTCAGAGGCATGCTATTTGCTGAAGGTCTGAAATTCTGATTCTCACTGTCTTGACTCTCAGGTAGACATTTTTTCCCTGTTTCTGATACCTATAACTTTAGTAATTATAGTTCCACCTGTTATACAATGCAATGTTTTAAGAGCAAATTAAGTTACTAGATATGTTAAAATCGAAGGTACAAACACAACTGATTTTTGCTTTCTTTTTCCCCCTACCTTCTAGGAAATGCTAAACCATAGATAGTTCTGTAATGATCCTGTACGTTAAATGTTAACATAAATGATATTCACTAAAACATTTCTATTAAACTGTATAATATCAAAACTATAGATAAAAACTCTATCAATATTTATCATATCAAAATTACAATTATCCCATTTAATTTGTCCCAATGAAAGCTGATTATTTTTTTTTCAGTCAACATGCTCCAGATAGGCAGATAATAATGCATTATTTAGGGGTTGTGCAAATAAATGTTTTATGCTCTGAATGCTTTTACAGTACCCACAGATTGACAAAGTTAATAAGAAAGTTCTATCTCCAGGTAGATTTCTTCTCATGAAGAAATTAAAGTATAAAACTTGTCAGTTAAACAAATAGTCATTTCTTATGGTGGAACTATTTTCACCAAACTAGGCAGAAGTTATCTTTTTATCCAGTCTCCTGAGGGGGAAAATACTCCCAGTGTTCCCAGTTTTCCCAATAGACTTCAAAATGTTATTCCTTATTTCTTTATGTATTCTTGAAGCTTCTGGATGACAAGAACATAAATCCTCTATTGGAGACCCAATATATGCTGTTATTTTGGGTCTAACTCTGTCTAGCTATTATTTCACTGATCAAATTTGAATTTTCTCACTTAGATTAATGTCTTATTGAGAATCAGCTACTAGTTTAAATATACTATTTGCTTCTTCAAATAATAGGGTTCAATAGTCATTGTATTTTTTAAAGAAAAAATAATAAGCTGGAAGTAGTAATAGCCTTAGAAAAAATCAGACAAAGCCATGAAGATTCCTTAACTCACCTGCTGGAAGTATTGCAAAATTAGCTTATTTCCAAAGCACAAAAAGTACAAGTTCAGTTCATGTAAACCATTTTTGAATATTTAAGTGCTAGGTGTTAAGGTAAAGTAAAATGGGGCAAGGAGTGAGGTAGACAGGATTATATCTATGAATGTGATAACCTCTGCCCTCAAGAAACTTACAGAAAAATATATTTGGTATTTTACAGAATTTTTACTGATAAACTCTTTGTATGTATAGTACACTTCACTTTATTCACAATGTCTGAGGAATAATTGGTAATATGGTGACCTGAATGTTCTAGTTTAACATATATAAACATATAAATATATCTGTCATATCATTTCAGTTCAGTCACCCTGTCCTGTCTGACTCTTTGCGACCCCATGGACTGTAGCATGCCAGGTCAGACAGATAAGTATATCTGTCATATATGTATATGTATATATGTATCCACCACATATATATGTATGTGTCTGTCATATATATCATGTTCAATTTTTGAAGAATTATAATAGAGATCAGAAACATAGATTTGGCCATACTAGCTCACCTTTATAATTCTCAAAATCTTGGTTGGTTATTTCATTTATAATATATATTTGCCACACTTTTTATGGTGAGGCACTGTAAATGTGTAAGAATACAAAGATAATATTTCACTCATTCATCTACTCACTCATTACTTAATTTACTTAAGAAATATTTGTTGGGTACCAATCATGTTTCAGACTTTGAATGATTACTCATTCTTCTTAAGAACTTATGTAGAAGGGGAGATACCAGATACAGATACACAGATACCAGAATATAGGACCTTATGCTAGAAACCCAGTTAAAAGTATAGAAAGTACTTAGGTATTCAGTGGACATATTAGCAAGATTTATTTGCCTACATGGCAATTTGCTCTTTCATCAACCTGGTGATTTATTGTTTCTTAATATCCCTTTTCATCTGTGCCATACAGAAAGTTGTTTAGTCCCTTTAAAGTTTTATCACTTGGGCAAAATTACTGCTATCTGCAATAGTAGTTTGGCTTACTTATCCCAAACTTACCTAGTAAGGCTGTGAAATATGCTCCCTTGTTCTAATATTTTAAAATTCAGTGAAAAAAACTTAATCTCATCTATGCCTTTCACAAGTTAATAGGTGTTGTTCACATTAAAAAAGCCCAATTTCATATTTTCTCTTATAGCAATCCCTTTCCTTTGGTCATTTTACAAAAGATACTCACTTCTAAAATTCTACTGAATATAATTTAATCTTTCTTGGATGATTTTGAAGTTACTTTAGAATGTTAACAGTGGTTCAGAGTCATTTTTGTCAATAGCTGCCCATATAGGATGCCAAAGGCATTAAAATTGGATTGGGTTAAACTGACTGCAGAACTGGGTCATGACCCAGATGCTACCATCCTAAATATACAAAATTTTCACTTGCCATTTTTTCTTTCTCTAAAAAGTCAATGAAGAAAGTACAGATTAAACTCAATTTAATTTGGATTCACAATAAATTAGAATTTATTTACAGAGTTAAAGTATAGAGCTACATTTTTATATTTAGTACACTTTTAATTAATTTAAAACAGTACAAAACTAAAATAAAGTACTTACATTTGCTGCACCAAGAAGTATTAATGTAGGCCCAAGACCTATTGTATATATTGACCTGAGCATTATTGACACAAGAAATGGCCGAATACCCACAGGCTTGGAGAAGAAAAACAGCATAGATGTGCAGATTGCCACTGCTATCCAGAGCAGAATTGAGAACAACGGTGAAAGAGTACCTGTAAAATGTAGAAGGAGTTTATTTTTACTAAGAAGAAAACTGGACCATGTTAAATCATTTGCCACTCTATTTTATATATATGAAACTCCAATACTTTGGCCACCTGATGTGAAGCACTGACTCATTGGAAAAGACCCTGAAGCAGGGAAAGATTGAAGGCAGGAGGAGAAGGGGACAACAGAGGATGAGATGGTTGGACGGCATCACCAACGCGATGGATATGAGTTTGAGCAAGCTTCAGGAGTTGGTGATGGACAGGAAAGCCTGGTGTGCTGCAGTCTATGGGGTCACAAAGAATCAGACATGGCTGAGGGACAGAACTGAACCAATTTCATATAATAGAGCAAGACAAGTTGTGAGACACTGAATTTCAAAGTAACCTACTCTACCTTCAGAAAACTAAGATCATGACATCTGGTCGCATCACTTCATGGCAAATAGATGGGGAAACAATGGAAACAGTGACAGACTATTTTTGGGCTCCAAAATCACTGCAGATAGTGACGGCAGCCATGAAAATAAAAGACACTTGCTCCTTGGAAGAAAAGCTATGACCAACCTAGACAGCATATTAAAGAGCAGAGATATTACTTCACCAACAAAGGTCCATCTAGTCAAAGCTGTGGTTTTTCCAGTAGTCATGTATGGATGTGAGAGTTGGACTATAAAGAAAGCTGAGCACTGAAGAACTGATGCTTTTGAACTGTGGTGTTGGAGAAGACTCTTGAGAGTCCCTTGGACTGCAAGGAGATTCAACCAGTCCATCCTAAAGGAAATCAGTCCTGAATATTCATTGGAATGACTGATGCTGAAGCTGAAACTCCAATATTTTGGCCACCTGATGCAAAGCACCGACTCATTGAAAAAGACCCTGATGCTGGGAAAGATTGAAGGAAGGAGGAGAAAGGGATGACAGAGCATGAGATGATTGGATGGCATCACCGACGTGATGGACATGAGTTTGGGTAAGCTCCAGGAGTTGGTGATGGACAGGGAGGCCTGGCGTGCTGCAGTCCGTGGGTTCACCAAGTTGGACACGGCTGAGTGACTGAACTGAATGCACTTATATTTAGAGGAGATGTCTTTGTACACATTATTTATTATTTCTGTACTCAGACACTCAGTGGTGTCTGACTCTTCATGATCTTATGGAATGTAGCCCCCTCCCACCCCCAGCTCCTCTGTCCATGGGATTTTCCAGGCAAGAATACTGGTGCAGGTGCCATTTCCTCCTCCAAGGGATCTTTTGGACCTAGGAATTGAACCACCGTCTCTTAAGTCTCCTGAGTTGGCAGGTGGATTCTTTACCACTAGCAACATCTACATTTCCAGAAAGCTTGTGATGAATCCTAGGCTGCTTAAATACTCACTAGTCAATGCTCCTTATATTAGTTCTGAAACTTGTGTGTCTTTCTTTCCAATGGGAGTCATGCTAGATGCTTTGGATAGGGGTTTCTCATTTTGGGAATCTTAATTCAAAATGCACGATTAATGGCCATGAACTATTCAGCTAAATCAAATGGAATCAGGCACTGAACTCATACCTTGTCTGTTTTAATATAATCAAGCTTTTATATTATATTAAAGAATTCAGAATGCACACTCTTTAGTTTTTAATGAAACAGACCTAAGCTTTAACAGTTAAAACACACAAGTGTGTTTATGTGTATGAAGACATATGTATATGTGTGTATTTCTCAACTTCTAAAAATAATGTTCAGCTATTTACTTCATCAGAAAATAAAAACTCCAAATGTTTCAAAACTAAACTCCATTGTAACAAAAGTTTCTTTAGAAATGGCCCCAGAAGGGGCTTATAAATACATTTCCTTTTTTAAAAAGGACAATTCATTGATGTTTGCACTGACATGTGTATTCAAGGAATCCCCCTCCAAAGGTCAAGTGATGCTATATTTGCAGAAGTAAATTAAGGGGGAACACTCTTGGGCTGATTAGACCTCAAATATGTGTATTCAGGCTGATGAAGTCAGAGGGGAGATGACAAAACAGGGATTTTCCACAAGTTCAGGTAAGTCATTTAGAATCAGGCACTGAACTCATATCTTGTCCTGTTAAATTATTATCAAGTTCTTATGGTGGCTTGGGGTAAAGAATCTGCCTGCCAATGCAGGAGACATGGGTTCAGTTCCTGATCCAGGAAGATCCCACATGCCTCTGAGCTACTAAGCCCTTGTGCCTTAAGTATTGAGTCTGTGCTCTAGAGTCTGGGAGTCCAAGTACTGCAACGACTGAAGTCTGTGTGGTCTGCAGCAACACAAGCCGCCACAATGAGAAGCTCTCTCACTGCAGTGAGGAGTAGCCCCTGCTCGCCACAGCTAGAGAAAGCCCGTGAGCAGCGATGGAGACCCAGCACAGCCAAAAATACACAAATAAAGCTTAAAAAGTGTTTTTAAGTTATAGATTCAGAATGTAAAATATCCATTCTTTAATGAAACACACCTAAACGTTCACTGTTAAAACACACAAGTGTATTTATATATATATGTGTGTGTGTGTGTGTGTGTGTGTGTGAAAGTAGAAGTGTTTGTTGCTTAGTCGTGTCCGACTCTTTGCAACCCCATGGACCTGCCAGGCTCCTCTGTCCATGGAATTCTCCAGACAAGAATATTGAAGTGGGTAGCCATTCCCTCCTCTGGGGGATCTTCCTGACCCAGGGATCAAACCCAAGTCTCTTACATCTCCTGTGCTGGCAGGCAGGTTCTTTACCGCCAGTACCTGGGAAGCACCAATTATTTGTTGACTATAAATAGAAACATAATCTGTGAGCTTGTTTTGAGTAAGTCAATCTCTAGTTATAAATTCCCCAAGTTGTGGAGCTTCACTCTTAAGTTTAGTAAAACTGCCAACATCTTTGCACACTTAACTCTCATCCAATCACTAGATTCTTCAGTATGATTCATAAGCAATGTCTTGGTGTGACATTCTTATTTTAAAAGTCTCAACTTTGGCACTGCTAATCACACTGTGCATTGTCACTAATGCCTGATAAGCTAACCACAACTTGACTATCTGGCTTGCTGAGATTTCCTCTTGATCCAATAAGAAATTATAACCATGAACTTCAAACTGGATATTTCATCCCTTTGTAGAGAGAACTCTAACAGTGTCCAGCTTAGTACCGTGCACAGAGTTTAAGGTTAAATATGTATTTGTGAAGAGTAAATAAATTTAAAAGTTACTTAAATGGCCATTTACACTATTCACAAATAGTGAATAGTTGTCAATTGTCAATTGACAACAATTTGTAATTCTATTTTGTAAGAATGATCACATTGGTTTTTAGCTGAAGATTTGATCTTCAGCTAGAAAAATAAACTGAAATCCTCTGATAAACTTTAGAAGACAGTAGACTGTCAAAGCCATTTTTTATCCATTAAGGGTGGAAAGAGGGGACTGTCTTCTTGATACTTGTATTACTTTTCTATAATGATCATGTATTACTTTATAATAGAGAAAAATTTAAGAATTCACTCTATATATTTTAAAATATTAGAGTATAACACTTGTCCTTAATAAAAGAAAATTCAAATAGAAACACTGGAGACTTCAATTCTACTCTCCTATCTACTTCACACTGACTTGTTTTAAGTTTACTTATAGCAAGGGTTCCCAAACCCTGGGCCACAAACCAGTACTGAGCAAGTGAAGCTTCATCTGTATTTACAGTCACTCTCCATAGCTCATATCCCATGGTCTATGGAAAAATTGTCTTCTAAGAAACTGGTCCCTGGTGCCAAAAAGGTTGTGTGTGCAGCATGCTAAGTCATTTCAGTCATGTCCAACTCTTGGCAACCCCAAGGACTGTAGCCCACTAGGTTCCTCTGTCCATGGGATTCTCCAGGCAGGAATACTGGAGTGGGTTGCCTTGTCTTCCTCCAGGGGATCTTCCCAACTTGGGAATCAAACTAGTTCTCCTGCATTGCAGGAAGATTCCTTACCCCTGAGGCACCAGGGAGGCCAAAAAGGTTGGGTACCGCTAACTGATAAAACATGCTGCATCTTACTCCCCTCTCTCCACTCCTCTGCCTCCAGTGGAGACTTGTAAGAGTGTCCTATTTTCCCCTTCTCAATCTGGCTAACACAAACTAGATAAATCTATGGGTGTTCTTTACTATTGTGTCTCACTCCTTTCTTCACCTTTAACTAGACGATAAGCCTCTTGAGGACAAGGTCAGTTCTCCCAGTGTTTGCATCTCTAGGGTCGAGCACGGTGTCTCGCATCCAGCCACACTCTATCAGTGGTTGCTATTAAGGTGAATGAATTAAAATCACCTTGAAGATTTATTATCTTTAACACACAGCACTTGAGGGAAAAGGAATGACATCCCAAATCTGAACACAGTATTTTTAAAAAATCACATGCTAAATGGATATAAGAAGGCACAATTCTCTGCTAACCCCTCTGCCTTTGCCAAACTGGGCAGGGATGGTTGGCATGGCAATGCTCAACTTCTGAGTAGACATCTCGGAGATTCCCTAGCATCGATAGCTGTGGCTTCAGCCACAACCAGCATGACCTCATTCCCTAACTTCGGCACAAGTTTCATTTTTAGAGAAGCACATGTTAAACATATAAACTAATAAACCAAATAAGGAAACCCACACCAAAATCTACAGCCACACCAATAGGCCCTGGATTCTTGAAGAAATTCAAAGAAAGCTCTGCAAAGCCTGACTACAGAAGATTATTGGCAGTAGGGGTTGGGAGGGTGGACGTCTTACAAGCTGGTACTCTGAGAATCACCTTCCACTAAGTATCTTCCTTTTATTATCGTATGCTACTACTCTGGCTGAAGGCAGACAATGTTCTCTCAGTTAATACTGTAACGTAAGCATGAACCAGAAATCTGGACATAAGTGATTCCCACAAGCTCACTGTGTGTTCATGCTGGAAAATACCCTTGGAGACAGCATACACAGCCTATTCCCCCTGCTGCCAGCCTCTCTGTCCTCACCTAGCACATTAGCCAAAGTGAC